GGATGAGTCGTGGCATGGGTTTGATTACCTGAGTGTTAGAACAGTCAGTGCCTAGGGGAGCAGATGTGCCAAGCAGAAGCTCTGGCCAGGGAAGGGCTCTGGCCAAAGCTAAGAGCTCTAGCTAAGATGACTAGGCCCTCAGCCCTTAAGGGAGCCAAGCAGGCTAAGACATGAAGCCAGATAGATTATGCACTGACAAGGCAGAAGCTCAGGCCCTATGTTTTTGGTTGAATAGAGGACTTGGGAAGAGAAAGGGGAACCATATTTAAGTTTCTACTATATTGAGTATACCTAGCACCTAGACCTCCTTGATGCCACTCCATTATGGAGTCTGTTTTCTGCAGGATATATCCCAAGTGTCATCAGATATTGAGAGTAATGATGTTGGTATTCTATTTCTTCCATCATCACTAGCTTACAAATAAGGGGTGGGTTTGACCTTGTAAGGGGTTTATCCATGTATCTGGTCCCTGGAGAAGATGAGGGTGGAAAACCAAGGCGAGCTGATGGGTTCTACCTCTACAATGATTCCCCCTCTTCTCACCCTACCAACCACCCACCAACCTTTAGGGGAAGAATGGGTTGTCCTTGGCCTTCTCTGATTTCTTGTGGCATTAACAACAATCCCTTGGTGAGCTGGATTGTCTGATCATTTGCAGATGAAGAAAAGGAATCTCAGGGAGGTTGGTACTTGTACCTTTTGACTTCTATTAACTCCAGTTCTTTCAAATAGAACAAATAGAACAATGAAACCAACCTCACGGGTAACTGTGAGGATTATTTAGACAATACATGTAAAATCACTGTGTAAGGTGCTATTCAAATACTGATAATTTTTTTGCCATCATAATTAGACTAGTTTAAAGATCTTTTGTCTCTGAATTCAATACCCCTTTCCCCCCCCAAAGTTGATTATTTATTCATTCACTTATTCACTCATTCACAATCTTTGAATGTTTTTGAGGAGTCAAATGCTCTTCTAGATCCTGGAAATAGGAAGCTGAAATACTACTAAGAGGAGACCAGAGGCTAGAGGTGAGTCGGGTCCTCAGAAGGTACAAGGCAGGCAGTGTGGTTGTTGCCAAAATAGGTGTGTGAGAAGCATAGTGAAGGTGTGGAGGGCAGTGAGTGGCTGTGCTGAGATGAGGGTGGTGTTGCGAAGGCTCCGCTGCCTCATCATGTGCTTCCTGTCCTCCCACTCAAGACCCTCACGCCCACTCTTCTGTGGGACAAGATCTGTTTTTGGGAAATAGTAAAGAGTCTACAGTGGGGAAACCACTCAGATGGACCATGGGGGTCCACTTACTCTCATGAACATATTGGAGGCTCAAATGAGATCAGGCTGGCCTGTCTTATAAAACAACAACAAAAGCATTAAAACAAACAAACAAACAAACAAACAAAAAACAACAAACCCTAAACGGTTAAACCAATGACCATGAATTAGAATGACTACATTTATGTAATAACCACTCAAGCCAAAAAGAAAAAATAATCTCACTAAAAACAACTATATATATATATATATATATATATATATATATATATATATATATAGTTTCCTAATTTGTAAACTTGGAGTTGCAGGGGGGGAAATCTCCCTATTTGGAGTATATTGCCTCCTGTTGTGTATTTAATTATGATTAATCATTCTAAACTTTACAAGCCAGGGTTCTGTCACCACTGGTGGAACAAACTTTCTATCATCCTTACAGAATAAAGATACAGCTCTAGAGAGTGACCTCAAAACAAACTTGAGTTGACACAGTGTTTGTGATGTTGGATCCAGATTAAGAGTGAGGCTCTGCAGTCTATTGCTGCTCAGAACCCTGATATCAACAACTAAGATCCCCTTTGAAAAGGCTTGCCATAGAGCACTGTGTACACATAGAGTGCTTTCAGTCAACCTTTTTACCATACACTGGCCAATAACTCCTAACTAATTGCCATAAAGGGCTATCATTTTGCCGATTGGGAAACTTAATCTCATAGTTTAAGTAATAGTTGGGTGAGACTACCTCTGATGACACCGCTGGACAATTGTATTTGGGTCCATAGAAACAATGTGGCCTCTTTAAAAAAAAAAAATCATGCTTGAAATTGGTTCAAATCAAAGTCAAACTGGACATTGCAGCCACTGGTTCTTTATTGATGTGTGGTATTCCCCAAATTCGTAGAATACCTTACACATGCTCAACACATATTTGAAAAATCAAAGCATTTTGAAGCTGCAAAATATCTTAGGGATTTTTAGATTCAATCTTCCTCCTTCCCCCTCCCCCCCCATTCATTCATTAACTCCATTCCCATGGAGTCTATCTAGTCCATGGAATAGTCCTAGAGAACCTTGCACTAGGCACCAAATGAGGAAACCAAGGCCCCCCAAAAAGAGAAACTATTTAATCAAGGTTGTCAGCTGGAATAAGTGCATAAGTTGACTGCCTCCAGGACCCAGTATGAGGTTGTGCAGGTTGGGCACTGCACAAAAACAACTGGGTGAGGGGATAACTGGGGTGTGAAATCTAGTCCACAGCTGGACTGAAGGGTGGTGTGTCCTTTTCCTTTCACAAAGGGGCCATCCACTCACTGTGCCAAGTGGGGGGCACAGCTCTGAGAAATGTTTGGATGCAGAAGGGCAATGTTTAATGAACGGAAGCACAGATTGCTGAGTGTTTTATGGGTTAATTGATTCCTTCTGCCTTTTTTGTAAGCAGAAACAGTATGCTTTTTGCTGTTCTGTGACCTACTGTCTCTTTGTATCTCTGCATCTTTGTATCTATAGGAACAAATGGATAAGAGGTCTAGTGTTGAGAACAGGGGCAGTGTTCACTCACTTTGGGGGCACTCAAGGAATGTCCTATATGTACCTATCTGTTGGACTAAACTATAAGTCCTTGTCCATTTCTGCTGCTTGCAGTCCTACTGAAGTCTAGTCCATGGAATAGTCCTGGGGAACCTTGCACTAGGCACCAAGGCAGAAGATATCTTCCTGGGCCACTGGGAGACTGTGATCTAATCCATTCACTCACTCACTCACTCACTCACTCACTCACTCACTCATTCATTCACAATCTTTGAATGTTTGTGCCCATGGATATGTGCAGACATTAGTGAAGAGCCTTCAAGAAATGCGCACAGAGAAAAGAAAGAAAGGCCATTGAAACACTTAAAAAAATTTTTTTTAAAAAAAACAAAAACAAGACAAGATTGGCTTTGCACACAAATAACTAAGCAGGTGGATCAGGCATATTTGTCAGTTTTTTGTTTTTTGTTTTTGTTTTTGTTTTTTTGTGTGTGTGTATGTATGTGTGTGGGTTTTTTTTTTTTTTTTCCAGAATAAGAAATAAATTGGCACTCTATTTGCATTTTCAAAAGCCCTTTACTTTGTCTTCTTGTGAATTCTCTTGGTGCTTTCTGGGCCCTACCCTGGACTGAGTTCCTGCTCATGGCTCTCAGAGCCCCCAGAGAAGCAGAATATTAATGCCTACTTCTTCCACCCCTTCTAACCCTTTGAACAAGATTTCCCTTCCTGCTCTTTCTTCTTAGGGGTAGAGCTTCTGAGCAGTAACCAAGAGGGGCACATGAGCCTAGGCCTCAGTGGAGAATGACCTGGACCAGTGTACATCTGCCAGGTGTCTGATTCTTTATGAAGTAGGCCTTATCTGATTAGGCCTTAATGAAATACCAAATATTGGAAAGTAGAACATCATTAGAGGTTGCTAATGGGCACTCCATCACCCACCTGCATTATCACTGTGAAGACAGGAAATAAAACCAGTGACCTGTGCACCCTTTGCCATCTAGAAGCCTCCAAGCCAAATTAATTTTTGTGAAACTCAGATTCAGAGCAGATGTGAGTTTTGAATTTTATTATAACTCCAGAATACAGGTCATTGTTCAATGTTCACAGCAAAGCTCAGGCATTGTGTAATTTTTCAGAAGATGGTGCAGAAAGAGGGTTTCAGAGCATAAATATGGGTGACCTTCCAGAAGGTTGGTTCAGATGGAATCAACCAACCAATACATCACCCTGTCAATTTCACAGTGGCATCCAAGAGAGCTTTTGCTTTGATCTTTACAACAATGAATACAAAGAGAGACCCCAAAATTAGATGTATGTGTATGTAAAATGATCAAAAATTCAACTAAGAAGTTTCTCCTGCCACAGGTCTTGGGAGGTCTTAGAAGTGACTCATTATCAAAAGCCATTTAGAGCAGGGGCTTTGTCACGGCCCATCCCCTCCTCCTCTCTATGGGTTGGTCAGCAAGAAGAAAATGTCAGAAAATGTCTACCTTCTGCTGAGGCCTGGCTCTGAGCCTGGCCTTCATATGTGTTATTTCATTTTGTCAGTACAACCACCTGTTAAGTAGATGTTCTTTTGGGCTGTTCTTTGGAGAATTAGAGTTTGGTTTGGTCAAGTAACTTGTAGAAAGTGGTAGTACAGCTAATAATGAGATTATCCAGCACTTACCACAAACCCAGGTTTTTCTGACTGCAGAGCCCATATTCTTGTCAAAACACTATGTTGTCTCCCTCATGAATCCATTGGGGAGTGAATCTGGTTGTGAAAATATGCAAGAGCAATAGAGTCCTCACTCCAGCCTTCTCTGAGTTTGAATCATCATGGACTCTAACATAGGGTGGGGGTCATCAGAAGAGTGTTAGAGTCATGGCATATCAGACCAGGACCCTATTTCCACGGCCACATATAACCTCTGTAAGCCTCAATTTCCTTAGTTCTAAATAAGAATAAAGTGTTTACTTCATAAAGCTGTTGGGAAAAATACATAATATGGTGCATGTCGTGGGTTTAGTTCACCACATAGTAATTGCTCAATACATTTTAGGGAGAATATGTGCAAGTAGCTTTCAATTCACTTTGTATAAACTAGCATGGTGAAGGGTGAGGTATGTCCCGCCCTAAACATAGAATCAGAACCAGGCTAAAACCCTTAGATCAAGCCTTGCAAAGTATGGCCTTGGGGTTCGTATCTTCCAG